GCCATCAGGTAAAAACAAAGGAATTGGTCTGATCCCTAAATGGCTGAGACATTAATCTCCTAGCAACGAAGGGGGAGGAACTGAGGAAGGGTAGGGTGTGTGGGTGGAAGAAGGTGGGGTTTGGGGGATTGGAGCTCAGCTCTGGGACCTGGAGGAGAGGCTGCGGCAAGCTGGAGAGACTGCCTGGTTTTTCTTTGTTTTTTTCCTGTCGGAGGAGAGTCTTTACTGCTGTTCTCTGCTTAGCTGTTACTGACTGCAGGCCTGGCTCACTGCAAAATCCTCGCCAGCTGAAGGTCATGAGTTTTCTTCCATTGGGAGAACTTTCTGTTTTATTGCTGGTTTTTTTGTTTCCCTCCCCCCCTCCTCCCCCACCACCCGGCGGCAACCAAGGATCTCACAGCGCCGCCTGGTGACGGGCACTGGACATTACAAGTTCTACTCCTCCAGTGATCCAACAGCGCCACCTGGTGACTACTATAGAACACTACAAGTTCTGCACCTTTGATAACTCAACAGCGCCACCTGGTGAATGGTATAAGACATTGCAAATTTTGCATCTCCAGTGACCCGACGGCGCCCCCTGCGGACTGTGACTGGAACTGCACCAAAGGGTGCTAAAAATTGAACTATTTTAATTTCCCTTTTTGCCGGTTTATTGGTTTTGTTCTTGAAGGGGATTATTGGTGGGTATAGGGGTATTGCTTGGTTGTTTTACTTGTTTTTTTTTTTCGTGTTCCTGTTAATACACACATACCTTTTAATAAAGGGCTGTTATTTTTTCCCTGGGAGCCCCTGGTGGTGAAGTGGTTAAATCCCAGCACTGTGAACGCTGAGACCCAGGTTCGAGTCCTGGTCAGGGCCCCTCCCCGGGCAGATGGAGCTCGTTAGCCCTGTAAGGCAATCCATCTACGTCCTGAGGACCTCGCTGCCACCGTCCAAGCGTGCTTGGCCCCGGCAGATGAACCTCAGGATTACAGGGTGGGCTCAGTTCCGCGCACACTGTGTCTCACCTAAAAAATCCAATGCGCAGGCTGGAAGGTGTAAAAACCTTCCCCGGTTCTTCGTTCGCGAAGAGACTGGCCAATATATATTTTTCCCTTTTCAATAATTTGTTTTCCTTCAATCGGAGCCTCTTAATTTCGGATTTATAATTGCTTAGAAAAGGAAGTTTGGGTCTCTTTCTCCTAATCCATCCTCAGCAAAAGACCTTTGTCTCATTTAAACTGGGACAAGAAACAAATAACAGTTTTTACTAAAAACAGAGAACAAAACAGAACAAAACAATCAAAACAGCAAAACACAGTAACCACAGAGGTACAGGGAGAAAATGGTCTGCCTTTCCACTCCCTCTCCTGAAGAGACAGGAGACTGCCTGGCCACGTGGCTCTCCCCTCCCCCCAGCAAACAAAAGGAATGCAGGGAGGATGGTAACAAAACCTGGTTAGTTATTTCGTTGCTGCTGGTTGTATTAATTTGGCTCCTATTGTGAGAAATAAGGTAACCGGTTTTATTACAAGCAAATGAATTAAACGGGTCACTAACTTAAGGATTTTTCTTTACTAACCTATAAGGTGCATCGCGGAGCTGTAAGATACCTGGTCCTGTCTGGAGCTGGTATCAGGGCACCATGTGGATGGCAACAGGGAAACTGTAAAATGAATATTGGTAAAGATACTCCTTGTGCCACGTGGTTGGTCCTGGGGGCCACCATACTGCTGGGGGCCCCACCTCCCAGCACGGCACAGCCAACCAGGGAGAGGGGAATGCCTCTTCTATTATGTAAATGAGGCAGGACCTTGAGAACTTTTAAAAGTGCAAGTTTTGAATTAAGAAGAGGTATGTTCTCGGGACCCTCAGGACCTGGGCACCCGGCGCGCACTGTATTAGAACTTTCCTTGCTCATTTTATTTCCTTGTTTCACAGATATTTTTTTTTGCAGTTTTTTTTCTAAAACTAATAAATGAGATTTTTCTCAGACTATGGTGAACTGCAGGGCTCCCGAGTGCCATCAGCTTGAGGCATGGGGCTGATGTAGGAGACATGTCCCAGGGATGTTGGGTGAGGCATCCTGGGTTTGGTAGTTTCCTATGCTGTACTCTGACACACATGGGCAGAGTGAGCCCACTGTGATTGGTCAGGAGTCATGTGTTGCCCGAGGGTATATAAGAGGGCTATTTTCTGTTAATAAAGGATTTGGTTGTTGGGAACCCTAACTGCCGGGTCATGTCTTATTATATTATAAGCCACAGGTTGGCAATGGGGCAAGCTTTTGACCTGGTACAGCTGCTGCAGCAGTGATTTTTCACCCCACAGCGGCTGGTGGTGAGCAGAGGTGGCGTGGGTCCAGCTGGTGCTGTGCGGGAGTGAGGTGGCAGAGGTCAGAAGGCAACTGGCGTGGGGCAGTGGCCGGAAGCTTGTGGCTGAGCTGGGAGTCAAAGGGCAGTAGCAGTGGCTGTGCCCGTGGTCAAAAAATGGTGGAAGAGGTGGCTGCACTGGTGGGGGAAGCACCAGTATGCAAAGCAGCACTGGCATATGGAGCGTACGACAGGTGTCTCGGCTGCAATGGCAAGTAGCAAAGGTGCAGGGGAAGCGGCAGCGCAGGGGTAGCAGCAGTTGGGGACCTCCTGGATTCCATTCCAGAAGAAAGAGAGAGCAAACCTGGACTGCTAGCTGTCACGGGTCAAGGCGGGACACAACATGAACCCTCGTGGAACCAGAAACTGGAACCCTTTATTGCACACCGCTGCTATTTTTATACTTTTTTAGGCTACACGTGTTAACTATTGGTCTCCAATTTACGTAAATAACCTTCTATTGGTCGCTAATAACATTATATAACTCTGTTAACTGCACATGTCAGCCAACTATGACTCAGCATATTTTACCGGAAAAACATATTGTTACATCTTCCAGGTCCGGGCATAATTCTCCCCTGTGCAAAAGTTCCTACTTAGCTTTAACTCTTCCAGGATCCCCCAGGCCAGCTGGGGGAAAACCACCACAGCTAGCCTCTTTTATTTCCCCACACCAGGGATCCTGCTCCAGTTCATGCAGTGCCTTCACCCCAGTGATCCCATCTCCTCCAACACGGGTCCCCATTCCTCCTTCTCCCTGCTCCTTCCTTCAAAAATGCATGGTGGCATGGAGAAATTCAACAAGAAAATCTAAGCCACAATATACATATACTTTTTACATTGTTTTTTAATTTCTTTACAAAAGTCTTGTATTGCTTCAAAATTGTAACTTGCATCCAATGCAAATATAGGCATAATCACTTAGATGAAAAGTCTTGAAACAGAACTGCTTTATTTAACTAGGAAATGAAAGTAATACTTGACTAAAACCAGCAATGCAGTCTTGCATTTTCATTAATAAAATATTGTCATATTAAACACAATTTTATTGCAAAGCAGATTACAATTAAGATTGCAGTAAAAAGACTGTGTAGGAAATAAATAAGGCGGTTTTATTACAAGCAGGAGCTTCCATGGTTGCCACCTGTCGAGATGCCTGGAGGTCATTTTGTTTGGGGAGTCATTTGGTGGTCGGGGACTGGTGGGCTGCCTGCATTACTTATTGCTGCTTGCAGATCTGCTTGCAGTTGTTTGTTGCTGCTTGCAAGTCTGCTTACAGTTACTTACTGCTGCTTACTGTCACGTACAGTTACAGTGTGAAGGCGGGCTGGAAAGCATGTAAGGCAGGGAGACCAGTCTGGGCTCACTGCCAGGGAACCACGCAGCCAGGACAGGGAAACAACCTGATAGGTCGGTTAAGACAACCAATGGACTGCACCAGAAAGCAAAGGAAGGTGTGGCCCAGCCCTGAAAGGACCCAGTTGAATCCAAGAAGAGGATTATATCACCTTTTAAGGAAGAAAAGGAGTGGGGCTTGGCATGGGAGGAGCGAGGGAGTGGTTATGTAAATCAAGGGACCTTAAAAGGGCTTGTCCCTCCCATTCTGAGTGTGCTCGGACACGGTCACAAATCCGGTGCACCCAGTGCGCTGAAATTAAAGTTCTTTGTTTCACTTTATTTGGCTGTCTCTGAAATTTTAATTAGAGATATTTCTTACAACTGTACCATTTTATATGAGTTAGAAATTTACCATTCAGTAAGGTTTGCAAGTTAAGAGCCAAATATACTCTTCCAATCAAATCTACAGTACAGTATGTGCTTAGCTAATAATGGCACTCTTATCTGCAAAAGTGTGTAGTATACATTAAAATTTATGTAGCCTGTATGCAGCTTAATTTATTGTAAAGTTTCAGCAGTCCAATTCATTATTGGTTTTGCATGTTTGGGAGTAGCAGGGACCCTGCAAAAGAAATGGCGAGGAGGCAAACTGATTTGGAAATTTCTCTTTGCTCAAGAAACCTGCTGTGGCTAAAGAAACATGTTGAGAGAATGTGTGAGAACAACCACCTTTTGTCCTTCCTGTGGAGCTGCTTCTTTGTGAGACTAAACAGGGAAATTTCTTACCTGAGAAGATGCCAAAGAAGCATTCCTTCCCACAAGTGGGGGAAGGGAGATGGAGGGGGGGTAAAAGGTAAATGGCTCAAAAAGCAGCACCTGGAATGCCCAAGGGCCCCTTTGATATGCAGGGCTGGGAGGCCCTGGGGTGTGTGTATGTTTTTTGCCACCCAGCTGCTGCAAGTTCATGGAGCTGTAAGCATCCCCGAATAAACTTCCATTCCTGCTTGAAAGTCCTTAGCTCAGCCTTCTGATTTTACCTGCGCAAACATTGGAACTGACACATGAATTAGTTGAAGCAAGTTTTATTGTTTTAATAGAGAATTTGCAATAGATACTGGTATGTATGAAGTTCTTTACAGAGAGAGTGATCAGGCATTGGAATGGCCTGCCCAGAGAGGTGGTGGATTCACTGTCCCTAGAGGTTTTTAAGATGAGGCTGGATGTGGCACTGAGTGCCATGATCTAATAATCACAATGGGGTTGGATCAAGGGTTGGACTTGATGATCTCGGAGGTCTCTTCCAACCCAGTTAATTCTATGATTCTATGATTCAAAATGGTCATATAAAATTTCCACTTGTAGGTTAATATTTTGCCTCAATACTTTTGATTTCAGCATTTAAAAAACCACTTGATAATACAAATGCAATAAAGATTTTTGAAATTAGTGACTTGCTTTCAAAAACATTACTTATGTGTCACTTCCCTGTGCTAAAGCTGTGGCAAGCAGATTAAATGCTAAAAATGGTGGATTTAGATAAAAAATTAAACTAATATAAATAGCAGTACTTGTCATCCTGCTGCTATAAAATACCCATCTAAAATGCTATTTCTCCCAAAGTACTATGTCTACATTCACATCACACAACCCTCAGAGCACTTAAATTCCAAAGGCTTGCAGTCAAAGTGAAAAGAAATGCTGCTTGCTTTTATCATCTTCTGTGATTTTTCAGGATTTTCATCTTTGGTAATAAAAAGTTTCAAAGTCCTGCATGATGCATCTCTCTTTACTACAGCTGCATTTATTGCAATTACCCCAGGAGGAAGTAAACCAATATTTTAAACCTCTTTTAAAACAATCTCCAGTTTTGCAAATCTGCTTTCTAAATTCCAAAGGAATTTTTATAAAGTTGTATGTATTATAAAAACACTGTGCTTCCTTGATGAAGAGCCAAAATTTGAAAAAGGAATTGAGTCCTGTGAATAACAAAGTGTATAGGCACAGGTGGTTTTTTTTAAAGGCACAAATGTTATACAATTCATATAAAAATAAATCTACAGCATTGATTCAAACAATCACAATACTCATAAAATTTCCTAACTGCAGAAGTAAATCTCTTCTGTCTTTTGCAATTTTGTAACACATTGCACTTAGGAAAAAAAACCCTATTAAAACAACTTACCTGTTAATAATATACGATACACAGGCAGTAAGTTACATTTTTTTTATACTTCTCTAACTCAGCTGGTTTTATGGCATGAGTGGATGGAATAACTATGTGAGACTTTGCTTTCTTTTCAAATTGGCAATTGAAGAATCTGAAAAATTATTATTGCTTATGGAAAGACGAAATATTTCTTACTTGCTTTCCCATATTTTTAGGTTCAGTGTTTACAGTATAACATAAAATTTCATACTTTCAGTACAACTATTGATTACTACTTTGACTTCATCTATAAATTTACTAATGATCATTTACAGATGTGTTAATTTCAGTGCTATTATAAAGTAATAAAAAGTTTGCAAAATTACTTTTAAAAGTGCATTTTCTGCTCTGATGGTTAAACCTCAAAGTAGGTCAACATTTAAAAAAACATAATGCATGTTAAAATAGTGTTTGAAAAGTAGAGCGGTCAGAGTAAACTTCTTGCACTCCTTTGATCCAATGACTTCCGCATGTTAATCAGCAGTCTGCCATATACCATCCTGAAAAATAAAGGTAGGGTTTTGGCAGTCAGTAGATAAAACAGATTTTTTCAGTATTTTCCTGCAAGCAGTTTGACTAACTATGGAAAACAAAAAAAAGTAAAACAGTTTCAGCCACATTTTTTGAGGAAAAATAATTATTTATGCATCACTTATTTAACAGTTTTAAAATTTATAATTTAGCACTATATAACATATCATATTAATTTGAATATATAAGCATGTCGGTATCTTACCAGTGGCAAATCTCTTCTTAAGGAGAGAAAGTCGATAGCCAGTGCTTACTAGCTCTACATCTATTCCTGAAAGGGTGCTTCCTTCACTAATGAATTGCACTGCAAGTGTTGCTGGTTTACTGGGTCCTTCTGAAAGTTCAAATTTTGCCCTGAGTGATCCAGAACCTATAAAAATAACAAAACTGAAAGGCTGGTTGTTTCGCAAGACCAAGGCAATCTCCCAAAAATTTTAGTAGTAAGGAGTAGAACTAAAATGGTGATCTTTAAGACCTATTTCTAGTGGCAGTTCTATATAGATTTTCAGAATAGATGAGAGTACAACTCGTTTTTCTAATACTCTGCTTAAGACAGTGACTAGTGAATAAATTAGAGGGAAGCAATACACATTTCTACAAGATTATACTCATAGAAGAATGTGTATATCCGACAGCCTGGTAGTCTCTTATTACATTAAATACCTGATTGTTCCCTATAATCATCAGTTATGCTTCCTGGTTTATCTTGTATGTAGTACTTTTCATTAGCAGATTTTAAAGTACATCAGAATACTTAAATGTTTTCACAATCTGCCTGGATGAATGCACATGAACAAAACCATCGGAAGAAATGCAATTGAACGGTAACGTACCAAGAGGAAAGCAATTCTTATTTTTTAAATAAATACAAGGTCCGATTAAATACATTTCCCAAAAAACAGTTGCTTTTTCATAGACAATGGTGAAGTTCACTTCAGTGCCAGTATAAAGTAGCAATAGTTCAAAATTACTTTAAGTACACCTTTGTAGTCAATGCAAGACATAAAACCCCCCCAACATTATTGTTGGTCTCCTTTTCTTGTTCTTAAACAACACTTTTTTTGTCCTTACAAAATATGCTGGGAAATAAAGATTTAAACAGTGAATTAATGGAATAGTGAAAGTCAAGTATTTTTATTTATTTAAAACAACTAGTCAGTTGGAACTTCTAAGTGAGGAGGAAAGCTAGTAACTGAAATTTTACTAGGGTAAAAGCAGGAACTGATGAATGAAATTGTTTTATGCAGTGGCTTGTTCTTGGCCTAAAGTCCATTTCATTTTTTCAGTAGGTATTTCACAGTTTGGATAAATCGTAACTTCTTTCCACTGTGAGTATGGAAACTCATATATTCAAGTGCTTCAAAAAAACATTGCATCTGCAAAGGCTGCGAGGGCTGTGACATCACCTGGACCTCAGGGAAAGGCAGCTGGGCAGAGGACAACTATTGGTACCTTACAAAATGCTATATAAATTACAGTTCTCAGCAGATGTACACAGATTTTTTTTTCCTGGAGCTGTATAAGGTCAAAACAAAAAACCCTAAAAATGTTGGTTGAGAATCATCTATAGTTGAGTCTATCTCAGCATAGGACTCTTGGATTTTTTTCTTTTCCCCGGTTCTTCCACTTACCTCTTTCTACTTTATCTCAACTGTCAATGTATGGAAAATCAGAACATAGATGTTAAATGTATTTCTGTTTCAAGAACTGCTCATTTCCTTGCCCAGTCTAAAATCTGTTTTAGTGGCACTAGCTGCTTTCAAGGGTCTTCACTATTTTGCTTTTCATAATTTGCCAATATTTTTATATCTTACTGTTAATGGAATGTCTCGGGAGGAATTTGATAAGAAAGTGAACTGATAAAGAGGATACGGCAAGTGTAAACAGGCATGAGGACATAGAGACTAAAATGTTTACCTTTTTACTGTTATCATTTTTCTGTACAAGAAAACAAAACAAAATACTTACCTCCATTCTCAGACTTCTCAGAAATGCTAGATATTTTCCAATAAGCTTTCATCTGATCTGTATTCCTGTAAGACAATGGAAGATTAGTTATAAGCACCAACTTTTTTTTTTTCAGAATATTATTTCCCCAGATTTACACTGGCACCTTACAGACCTATAACCTACATCTCTCAGTGGAGGTTTATAAAAATATTTCATCATTTTAAGGTGAGTTTGTGGAAAACTATACAAAACAAAAAGGAAAACAGAAGGGTGCACCTGCATTGCCCCTGAGCTTGCAGCAGACCTCAGACATATATACCACCTTTTTATACAGTTAACACTGTTCTATGCCCAGGTTATGGCTGCACTTCACAACTCAAAACCCTCTGTGGTCTCAAAAGGTAAGGGCAGGCCAAACATGCTGGAAGCAGTTTGAAAGATGGGTCTTTGTGCTTCTTGATGATGGTATGAGGGGGAGCAATATTGTTTGCTATGTGAGACTCCTGGCTGTGTGAATTTTATTCCATTTCCATTCTAGTAAAACTAGTTGGCAGAAGTGACTCAGGGCTGAACTTAACTTCTGATGCTGTAATGGGACAGAAAAGCAAAGGGCTCCAAGCACCATAGTCTCTAAGCTGACAGGGCATTTTAACTCTGAGCACTTTGCAGCTGTTCTGTTAAAGTCAAGTCAACAACTTAAAGCTGTGAGCAGCATGAAGTGCTGATAGGTTTGAAACTGTCTGGTATTGGTATAGCAGGAGTGAAATGCTCACACAAGTAGCATAGATGGTAGTGGTTATTTGCAGGAGATTGAATCAGAAAATATTTATTCTTAAAAAAACCTCCACCCTCTAGACCAAGCATATAGCAGGAGACACATACTAGAGCTGCCTAGGACATGACTGTATTTTTTTGTCAGGTTTCAAGGCTCAAAATTCTAGCCTTGTGTAGTTGCCTAGGTAAAAGAAAGAATACACGAGGCTTGAGTCCCTTACTCTGATGAATCTGAAATGAAACTGTCATTAATCTTTCCAACTAACACTATGTGTTCTGGGTGGACATTCCTGCCCTCACTTAAGTTTCATTGCTGAGGGGTTTGTGGAAGAAGCCTGAGCAAGGAAGGGGGAGACTGGCTTCATCAAAAATTCTAGTCAAGTTGTGGAAGCAAGATACTGAACCTGCCCTTTCTCAGAATAAGCTTAAGGAAATTTGGTTAAAAGTATTGTTCCCTTGAAATACCAAGTCAAGAAAGATTCAGTCTTGGCAGGATTTTTTCCACTTAAAATAATACTGTATTACCACTTTGTCCAATTAACACATTTAAATGTACTGTTTCCAGAATCATCAGAACCTTTCTGATAAGTACACCTGGCTTATTTTATTTCTGAACCTCGCTTTATAAGGTAAATTGATCTATAAGTAATAAGGTTAACAAAGCCTGACCTCCCACAACTTGGTATTCTTTTCCCCTCTTAAACTTCATGTTAAAGACCCTCTTGTTCCTCTTGAAAATAAACAGTCCAGGAATAACATTACATCTCGGCAAGTGCCTACATGCTGCCAAACCATAGGCCCAGTGATTGAATTCTGCTCACCTTTTGCTCCAAGGATATTGCACTCTGCCTAGCCCTGCTACCCCATGCTTGTTTTCACAAACTTGTAGAAACATAATTATCTGAGACACATCTTACTTTCAAGTGCTGCTGTAAATGGTCTGCAGGCTTAGAAGGTGGGGCCAGATAGCTGTGAGTCAGATAATAATCAGCATGACACTTGAATTGAGAGACAATGCTACCTGGCTTACGCAGAGTTCTTCAGCTACTGAAGTTTGTTTTAAAACTATTTCAATTATAAGCTAATTTTTAAGCTAGAACAATCAATGCATTTCTTCTAATCTCTATATATCTTGATATATTTAATAATACACACATGCACATATATAATGGCTTTTAACCATTAGGATATTTCTGTTTCAAATCGTGTTATTAAAAATATCTATCCTGTCTACTGGCAAAAAGAAAGCAATCATTAGAAATTTCAGAAATGCTTGTATTCAGAAAGGTTTGTATTATTATGCAGTTGGAATGGGTGCATATAATCTCATTTTAGTCAATGTGAATTGGCTGTACATCATCTGCTTTGGACCAGAAAATGTCCTAAACATCTGGTACCATGTATTTTATCAAGAGGAAAAAAATTCTCTGTTTCTTCCAGTGACATTTTTCAGGATGACACTAATGAATACTCTGAAATGAATTTGAAATAATAAAAAGTATTACTATTACCATTTTGCAGGTGGAAGTGATTGCATGTTTGTTACTCCTCCATCTACTGGTACCACAACTTGCACATTAGACAGCATACTAGGCACATTCATAGACTCTGGATTATATTTATAATCCACTCTCACATCAGTAGTGCTAGCATTACATTTCCAGTAAGTTGCAAGATTCAAGGGAGTGGACTGGATGCCATTTGAAGATACCTGTAAAAGAATAAACCATTGAAAGCATCTTAATCAAAATATTCCTATTTTGGGCAGAATTAGGGAAAGATGGTAATAACTCTAAATCCCGACAAATTACCAACAGAACAATTGACCTCTGAGCCCTAAATCTCAGAATTCTGAAGACTGTTGTAGCCTAAAGTAATTCCTGGTTTGTTTGAGTTTTTTAATTAAATAATTTAAAAAGGGTTTGAAGTCTCTCTGGGCCATGAGGCTTCTTCCTGTTCTGGTTTTCATAAGTCAAAACAGTTTTGTTTTAGTCTTCAACTAGACCTTGTGACAGTGACCATCACCCTCTGGGCCTGGCTGTTCAGCCAGTTTTGAATCCCCCTTGCTGTCTGATAATCCAACCTATACTTCATCCGCTTCCCTATGAGGATGAGTGACAAAAGCCTTCCTGAAGTCTAGGCAGACAATATCCACTGCTCTCCCCTGATCTATCAGGCCAGTCGTTTCATCATAGAAGTTTATCATATTGGTCAAACTTTCCCTTGGTGACTACTCCCGATGACTTTCTAGACCTTCATGTGCCTGTAAATGATTTTCAGGATGAGTTGTTCCATGATATTGTGAGAGGTGATAACATTATGCGTTCTCATATATTACAGTTGATACGTTACAGCATCAAAAAATATGCAATTACAAAATCAAAATAGACTATAATTACAAACTCAAACAAACCCCCACCAAACCCCCAAATTCAAGAAAAACTTAACTTTGTTAACAAATAGTTAAAGTGTTTGAAGCTTGCACACGTAAATTGAACTGAAGTGTGACCAAACTGAAACAGGTCATGAATGAACATAAAGGCATAACCTGAATTCACTCAGCCTTGGCAGAATCAATGCACTGGAAACAGTGACATACCCAGAACTGGCTTAGATGAGGGATGGCAGTTCATCTGCATGCAAACAGGCAAATAACAATTCTTATAATTTCTATACAGATATGAAATCTGCCAGAGTTCCTTAAAAAAATTCAAAGGGAAAAAAGTGTTTACCTGATACTTTAAAACATCCACATTATAATAGGATGCAGATGGATTGTGCTCTGATAATTTCTTGAGGTAGACAATTATGGCTTGCATGTTCATCCAAAAATCCTTACTACTGGAGTCACTTTGTGACTGATCACTACAAAGAAAAAGAAAGATAGGAATCAAAAAACAACACTGAGTTTTATTATTTTGTATGTCTAAAAATTAAGACTAGATCTTTCCCCTTCTTCACTATTCCAAGCAAGAATTTGTTCTAATGCTTTATAACACATAATTGTACCTTCCTAAATATTAAAACAGATTACTGTTTGTTGTAGCTGGTAAAAATTCTCCTTCCAGGTTGTCAAGCAGTGAGTTTTCTCCACTGATGATCTGCATCCCAAGATGGAGTGAATGCCAAATTTGGATTTTACATTTAGTAATCAGGTGCCATGAGAATGTGTAGGAGGTGGGAATGAAAGTGGTGCTTGAAGAGGAATGTTATACAATTTGCGATAAATCCTAGAATCATAATTAGCTTTTGTTATGACATAGCTTCACTAATGCATTGAATTAAGATTTGTGCTGTATATTACCCCACTTTGACATATTTATAGAGAGCGCAAGCTTTCAAAATTTTTTCAGTTAAAAGTGATTTTCAAATTATTATAAAAAACTGTTTCTCAGATACTTATAGTTGCATTTAATCTTAGTAACAATTTATTATATAATTTCTATATGTAGGTAAGAGTGCATGACTACAGAAGCAAAATCCTGGTTGGGAGTTACTGGAGCATGAAAAGGTGTTTTGCAGCTCAAAAATATTTTCAGTTCTGGTGGCATCAGGTTTATTTTTTAATAAGGATGAAACTTTTAAGAAAACTGATTCAGAAGCAAAATTCAAATAACTTCAGAATCAGAGCTCCACAGGTCATCTGTGGATATATAGAAGAACTGCATCAATCCCTAAGGAGGCATGCAGAATGTGCATGCAGAATGAAAGCTGAAAAGAAGCATCTGGAACACAGTAAATATAACTGCAATGGGTTGAATGTGCTAGAACAGTGATTTACATACCAGTAACCTGTCCAATTTACTTAGAATTTGGTTGTTTTACATGAATTACATGAATTACAACATGAATTACAGTGTTGTCATGCATGCAATTTTCATTTTCAGTAAAATATATAAACACTTATAACAGAGGCCTTCCAAAATATAAACAAATTATACCAGTAACAAAATCCTTCTTCTTTCTCCTTCTGAAATTCTGACATCTCCACAAATATCAGTCACATTAAAAAGTTCCATCTCTATAAATACTAAGCAAATGATAGTCATTGTAGTATATGGTGAAAAGTCAAATTATTACCATATGGGTTTAACTTCATAAATATCCAGTACATGCATCCTTTTTAATTAGAGGTGAAGCATTACAGTACTCACACAAGAATGCTAGACATTTTGACTTTTTTCCAAAATATAACTTTTCAGTATAATTCACTGTCAGATACAGATCTTTTAAAATTTCAGTTATAAACTAAACAAAGAATGAGAAATTTAATTTTGAATCAATATTTCATTACATTATGAATTATCAAAATAATACTAAAGAATGGATGTATGTGGTTTGATTGTTTCAAAGAATTTTTCCAATAAATGAAATAGAAACTGCTCAGCTGAGACAGGTGTCTGCTTTTTTTTTTTTTTTGAAAAGATGTACAAATGCTGTGATTTCAACAATTATTCTACTCAACCAGCAGCTTTTCTTCTTAAGAATTCTCCTAAGCATGGTGCTATACACTTGAGAGATAAAGTTATGTAATGGATTTGATCTACGATAGAAATTATACAGCTTAAAACACGCACTAATAACTGACAAATTAAACCATTGTTATTACTGTATAAAGAAATCCATATGACAATGTTTCCTATTTTTGACAATTTTTCTCTGTAGTTATATTAGTTACATTGTTCATATAGTGATTAGAATTTTTTGTTTTGTTCTTGTTTTCAAATAGTTTATTAAACCATTTTATTTATAAAATGTGTGTAAAAAACACAGCTACATTTGCAAACTATTTTTTGTGGCTCCTGTTATATTCAGCATAAGTTTCAAGTCCAGTAATCACTGAAATTTTAAGTGGTAGCAGTGAAAAGAAACTGAGCTAAACAAGATTAATTCAGGAAATTATGTATAAGCAAATCAACAAGACTGTAGAGAATTCTGATTTATATATACAACAATTCACATTTTAAAAATCATGTAGTTTACTATTATATTAAAGAAAAATACAAAACCTGTATACAAGTTGTGCATTTGGAAGAATCTGCTCTAGTTTGCTTGTGTTTTTTACCCTGAAGCAGAGCACAGCTGAAGATGGTTTGCTGGTGAAGACTTTAATAATCCCACTTGGGAATGATAATGTCATATCACCAGTAATCTTCACAATACATCTAGAAGAGAATGAAAACATCAGTTTTATTGCACTTCATTTGCTGTCTAGTTTTAATACTAATTTTAAATCAATCATACTTTTACAATCTGATGAGCTGATTTCAAAACAGAAAACTGGCAGACTCGGCAATGTGCACTTCCAGCCCAGAAAACCAACTGTGTCTGGGACTGCATCAAGAGGTGTGACCAGCAGGTCAGGAGAGGGGATTCTGCCCCTCTACTCCACTCTTGTGAGACCCCACCTGAGTACTGCATCCAGTTCTGGGGTCCCCAACACAAGAAAAATGTGGACCTGTTGGAGTCCAGAGGAAGACATGAAGATGCTCTGAGGGCTGGAACACCTCTGCTGTGGAGATAGGCTGGAAGAGTTGGGGTTGTTCAGCCTGGAGAAGAGAAGGCTCTGGAGAGACCTTCCAGTACCTAAAGGGGACTGGTCATAAGCTTAAGTAGGGTAGGTTTAGATTAGGAAGAAATTCTTTACTGTGAGGGTGGTGAAGTACTGTAACTGGATGTCCAGAGATGTGGACTCCCCATCCCTGGAGGTGTTCAAGGCCAGGTTGTATGGGGTTCTGAGTAACCTAGTCTAGTAGGTGTCCCTACACATGGCAGAGGGGTTGGAACTAGATGACCAGTTTTTTCAAATATATATAATAGCAAAAGACAATGTAGAAATAACACTGTCCCATTACAGGATGAGGATGGTCACCTCACAAACAGGGACAGAGACAAGGCAGAGGTGTTTAATGCTTTCTTTGCCTCTTTTGTCAACACAGATGAGGGACCAAGGGGGCCTCAGTGCCCTGAGCAGGAGGACCATGAATGTGAGAATGATCAACTCCCAGTCAACACTGAACTTGTGAGGGATCTGCTGCTCCAGCTGGATCCCTATAAATTAATCCATGATGAGATTCTCAAAGAGCTGGTTGATGTCATTGCAAAACCTCTCTCAATGATTTTTGAGTGGTCTTGGGAATCCGGAGAGGTCCAGGCTGAATGGAAGCTGATGAACCTTGCACCGATTTTCAAGAATGGTAAGAAGGAAGACCCCAGAAACTACAGGCCTGTTGGTCTCACTTCAGTGCCCAGTAAAATCATGGAGAAAATTATTCTGGGAGGTATTGAAAAACACCTGAAAGACAATGCAGTCTTTGGTCACAGCCAACACGGCTTCATGACAGGAAAGTCCCGCTTGTCAAACCTGATTTCCTTCTGCGACAGAGTAACCCACCTAGTTGATCTAGGAAAGTCAGTCGATAAAATGTTATCAGACTTCAACAAAACTTTTGATACTATTTCTCACAGTTTCCTTCTGGACAAAATGTCCAGCACACAGCTGGATAACCATGTTATGCGCTGGGTGAGCAACAGGCTCACAGGTCAAGTAAAAGAGTTATGGTGAATGGGGTAACATCAGGCTGGCGACCTGTCACTAGGGGGATTCTGCAGGGCTCCATCTTAGGCCCTGTGCTCTTCAACATCTTCATTAACAACTTGGACATAGGACTCAAAGGAATACTAAGTTTGGCAATGACACTAAATTGGGAGGAGCTGTCTACTCCCTCAAGGGCAGAGAGGGCCTGCAGAGAGACCTCAACAAATTAGAAAGATGGGCAATCACCAACTGTATGAAGTTTAACAAGGGAAAGTGCCGGATTCTGCACCTCAGACAGGGCAACACTGGATGTACATACAGACTGGGGAATGAGATGCTGGAAAGCAGTGCTTCAGAAAGGCACCTCGGGGTCCTGGTAGATGGCAAGTTGAATATGAGTCAGCAGTGTGCCCTGGCAGCCAGGAGGGCCAACCGTGTCCTGGGGTGCATCAGGCAAAGCATCACCAGCCAGTCAAAAGAGGTGATTATCCCACTCTACTCTGCACTGGTACAGCCTCACCTCAAGTACTGTGTGCAGTTTTGATCACTGCAAGATAAGAAAGACATTAAGCTATTAGAGAGCATCCAAAGGAGGGCCACAAGGATGGTGCAGGGTCTGGAGGGGAAGGCATTGAGGAGTGGTTGAGGTCACTTGGTTTGTTCAGCCTGGAGAAGAGGAGACTGAGGGGAGACCTCATTGCAGTCTTCAACATCCTCATGAGGGGAAGCAGAGGGGCAAGTATTAATCTCTTCATTCTCATGACCAGTGACAGGACTTGAGGAAATGGCATGAAACGGAGTCAGGGGAGGTTTAGGTTGGATATCAGGAAAAGGTTTTTCACCTAGAGAGTGGCTGGGCACTGGAACAGGCTCCCCAGGGAAGTGGTCACAGCACCAAGCCTGTAAGAATTCAAGAACCATTTGAACAATGCTTTCAGGCACATGGTGGAATTATTGGGGTGTCCTGTGCAGGGCCAGGATTTGGAGTCAGTGATCCTGATGGGTCCCTTCCCACTCAGCATATTCTATGATTCTATGATCTTTAACATTCCTTCCAACCCTAACAATTCTATGATTCTAAAATCAATTTCAAATGATGGCAATGTTGCACCATGACAACGTATTATCACTTTTAACTTGGAAATCAGAGGAAATAAGAAAAATGTTTAGCTGGTTAAGCATACAGTAGTATGGGTGGTTATTTTTCAGGCTTTGAAAACATGGCACAACTATGCTTAGGCAAGGCCTAAGTAGCATATCAAACAATGTGACAGAGGGAATGAGGTACTCTTAAGCTGCCCAAATTTACATATAGCACCTACCTGACTATAATAGAAACCCTTCTCATTTTCAGTGTTCTCACTGAACACATTCTTGTAAAGCAGGGATATATGAACTGCTAGTTGGATGCAGGCCAATAGAGAGTGATAAGTCACTGCTGTCACTTAGAGGAAAAAAACCCATGAATCAGCCTTCTAATGTATATGCATTTTCCTCCAAAATATTAAAAGTACAACCAGTGCATTTTTTATTGGAACTTATTACATTCAAAACAATTTACTATTTAACTAACTTTGTGGGATCTGCTCCTTTAAAGTAGGCGTTAACAGACTCAGTAAGGGCTACTGCAACAGGCACGGTATCCTGGTTTCCAAGTCTGACAGGACTGGGACCACGTGAAACACCTAGAATACATACAGTGTATAGGTTTAATTTTCAAAAAGCTTAGCAATAGATTTCAGAATGGTTGACTACACTTGTTATTTTTACAAGGGGTTACTACCATCATGATCACAGCAGAATCTGAAGTATTACTTGAAAAGCATGTAGAAAAATATAAACATAGTATAGTACAATCACACCATCAAAACACTGCTTAACAGCCTAGAAAAACAGGACTATCAATATGACATTTTGTAAATAGGCAGACACAAGGAAATACATATGGAACATATACATAGGAACACTGCATTAAAATGGTTACTGATGAAACTGAAGTCAACAGATCCAAAGAAAATTAGATGTTAACTACAATACTTTAAAAGAAGTCCCTACTGTATGCTTATAGTATGGAAAAATGTATGATAAAAACAGTCACAGAAATGCTAAGAATTCAGTTGGGTTACATATGAACATAAATGCAGATACATTAATATTACTCAACATAAGTGAACTGTTGAACATTCTTTAACTATTTCAGCCAACAAAGATTACAATTCCCAAGTAGAAATTGTTGGAGAAGTATTTTGCAAAGTTTTTCATAGTAAACATTCTGGGAGTACCTTGGAGGTACCTGGAAATACATATCAGTTTACAAGAAAAATAATCACCAGGCCTACGTCAGCCTTCACAGATGTCTGTGCCTACACAACAAAGTTGCAATGCATAGCTATAAAAAATAACTCAGACCTCAGCTAAGGCTTTTTGAAATGATTGAAGTGTCAATTGCAAATTGACAAAACTAGTTGTCATGGGATTTTACTTTTCTGTAGTGTTTTATATGTGTACTGAATATAAAAGACAATACTTGAAGTTCTATCTTTTAGTGCGATAGTGTAGTGGAGAGTATCTTACTAATTTTTTTGTACCACTGGTGAAACAGCCTGTATCATATGCCTGCTGCAAGCTCTCAGAAGGACAGGATGTCACAGAGCTGTGCCAAGGCAGACTCATGGTATCTCAGGCCACAGTCCAGCTCACAGGTCTAGTTCTAGGACCTTCAGTAGCACCAGCAAAAAACCAAAGTATTTCAAGCAAAAATACATGTTATACATGTTAAACAATTTTTTAAAACCCGTTGCAAATGAAAACAAGGCTAAAAGAAACTCAATTATGCATGTCTACATTTGGAAGAAGATAATTATAGTTAACTCTCCATTATTCAGAACAAATGGGGTAAGGGAAACACTGGATTGTGCGAAAGCCAAAAGAGTACAGACAATAATGCAGAGTATATCCTCATGCCCCAAAATCATTCAGCCATCTGCACTGCCTTTTCCAGCTCTCCAGAACTATTTAATTCATACAATCACTGCAGATGAAACTGGCCTTGTTTATTTTTGCTAGGCCAGGTTAATAACCATGTCAAACCGTGGTGTCAGCGCACACCTCACCTCCCCCTTTACCTCACAATTTCGCTCTGTCACTGTCTCCAATAACACATACAGACCTGAGGCTATTGATGCTGTTGCCGCGAATTTCTAGTTCCTTGGCACCAGTGCTGAGGCCTGAAGAGGTGAGCCTGGATGGACTCTGGCAACCAAAATATCAGTTATCTTTCTATGATGCTTCTCAGCATTTGAGAAACTGGTGGACACTGAACTGTGCCAGCATTTCAACAGCTAAGGCTAGACAGAGTTTACTAGCTTTGGTCCTGCACAGGGTGGAAACAGCTGCATTGCTTTCAATGCAGAATTCCTGATAGAAGCTGTGCAGATGCTCTTCTGAGGTTCTGAGCCTGGGTGAGGAATCCTTGACATCAGTAACATTCATACCTGAGTGTTAATTCAAGAGTCTGATTTAACTTGGGACTAAAGTGGTAATAGTGTTCAGGAACGCAGTACTTCAAATCTACTACAGAAACAAGTTAAAATGTCTTAAACACACACACTCTCCCCGCCCAAATAATCCCCCTCTCCCATCCCAAAAGTCTCCTTGTATTTTTTCTGAAATTAGTGGCAGGACAGGAAGACTGATTTGTTTTTCATCTTCCTCTCTATTGTTGGGTTGGTTGTTTTACTAAACATCTCTGTTTAGCTTATATACTTCAGTAACTTGAAGAAAAAGGTTCATTAGTGTCATAGTTCCAATTTTAGCAAGGAATTTTTCTGCACTTCCAGTGATCCAACAGCGCCACCTGGTGACTACTATAGGACACTACAAGTTCTGCATCTCCAGGGACCCAACAGCGCCACCTGTTGACTGTGGTTGGAATTTCACCAAAGGGTGCAAAAAATTGAACTGTTCACTGTTCCTTTTGCCGGTTTATCGGTTTGTTCTTGAAGGGGTTATTTGTGGGTATAGGAGTGTTGTTTGGTTGTTTTACTTGTGTGTTTGTCTTTTTTTTTTTTTTGGTGTCTGTTAATACACACATACTTTTAATAAAGGGCTGTTATTTTTCCTTTTCGATAATTCGTTCTCCTACTTCAATTGGAACCTTTTAATTTTGGATTTATAATTGCTTAGAGAGAAAAACTTGGGTCTTTTTCTCCTAACCCATCCTCAGCAAAAGACCCTTGTCTCATTTAAACTGGGACAATTAGTTTCACGTTTTTGGAAACTGCAATTGCAGAATAACAAAATAATAACATAAAAATAACTCAATTTTGTGACCATTTATATTAATTCAAATTTTTCAGTATCCAAAAATACTTCTGTACATATACAATAACATCTTTTGAACAAATATATAACATTGTGCTTGATGAATAGACAGCACACTAAAAACAAAATAATGGAATATTTTAATTTTGAAAAATATTTCACTTAGGAACATGCCCTAATTGGATCTATGGTCTAATCTAGTGAAATCCACTGTCCTGTCTCTCAGGTCATTTAGAAGTAGGTATTGCAAAGAATGCTTGAAGTACCTAGACTGAACTCACATATGGAACAACTAACTCCAAGGAATCTTTTTCCTAACAAGTGGAACTCAGTGGCAGAATGTGACCATTTCTAAAATGAATTAAAATGGTTAACTTACCAACTGCAGGTGTGTTTGCTGCACTGAGGGAAGCAGAAGAGGATATTGAAGAAATGCTCTCTGCATGTGCCAAGGGAGCTGCAGGTGGTGAACTTGAGTCAGAGGCCAATGGAGGGCTGAATGGCCTAGACTTAACACAAGAGATTGCAAGAGTATTACAGAGACAGAAAGTGGTTTTAAAAAGATGAAAAAAGACTGTAAATAGTTCTTCATTTCATTCCCAAATCAATTCAGTTGTGTTTCTAAACATCTTTCTTTTAATGCTTTATCTATTCTAGCTTTAATGTTAAACAGAGAACCCACATTTTCTATGGGAATCAATCCCATTATTTCAGACCTTATAATTATTAATTTTTTTTGCTTGGCTAGGTAAGTCTAATGTATTTGATTATGTAACAGCCTGTCAATAATTGTGCTGTAACACAGTAGCAAAGCCTAACCCTATAGCCATGTGTATGTGTGAAGCAAATGTGGACTTTTGGAGCTAAAGGAGAGACACTAACAAAATGGAAGTGAGTCCAGCAGAGGGCAACTAAAGTAGTTGAGAACTGGAGGAGATGAGAGAGAAGGAGAGGCTGAAGGACTTGGGTTTATTCATCCTGGAGAAGAGAAGCCTAAGAAGGGATCTACTAGTAGTCTTTCACTAGCTACAAAGATGGAACCAGGCTCTATTCAGAGGTGCAAGAGCTATAAGAAAGGAAATTTCAGCTGAACATAGGGAAGAAATTCCTTCTTGTAACCTTGTGGTTTAAGTCCTGGGACAGGTTGCCCAAAGATGTTGAGAGATCTCCCTATCTGAAGATTTTCAAAACTCAGCATGTCTCTAAGCAACCTGATGCAATTTTGAAGTTGGTCCTTCTCTGAGCAGAAGATTGGTCTAGAGGAGATCTTCATAAGTCCCTTCCACCTTAAATCTGTGGATAGTTTTATGACCCATTTAACTGTTAAGGTATTAATTTCAAATAACTAATGAACAATTTGGGATTAACCTATCTAAAAGGTACTGGAACTCCTGAAGCATCTGTGTTGGTTGGGTAATTTTTACTTTTTTTTTTGTTGTTCTATCACACTTGCCACTGAGTATATGACTTTTATATGGATTGCGAGAATTGTAAAAGGAGGCGACATGTAATGAAGACAACTCGCAATCTTTCACTTACATCCAGATAATCTCCAATTTCTAAAACGTAACTTTTTGCAGAATCATACTTTATAGAACAAACATACTTTATAGAACAATACCAGCTAAATTCTTCTCTTTAATTTTGATGATATCAAGAACATATTTCTTGGTCTAAGAGCAATTACTCCAATTTTATATTGGAATGAGAAAATAATCTCTAAATGAACCCTACTCTGACCTTATACCATTACAGAAAAGCAAAAGTGTTAAACAATGTTTCAGTTTTGTTAAAGCATAAGACCAGATTTTTTTTTTCCCATAACAAGAATATGGTGAAAGTATCTTGCTACTTTGAAAGACAATAAGAGGATCTTACTACAGTAAAATTTTTCCAAGTAAGTAAGTCAAATGAAACTCAAAGAATCATAATATTCATAGAAGACAATAAGCATGGCTTGGCTTGATATGCTGTCTGGGTATTTGCATTCTTTGCCACATTCCTTATCAACACATGGACCTGCACTGCAAGCAGTGAGCAGACATGGAAGCAGCGTGCAACCTATCACTGTCCGGATGGGCAGTTGCTGCAATCTGTCGCCTCCCTTCTTGACCAACCAGCACCAAGGGCAGGGTGAAGTCATAGCAAGGCTACTTGTATCAAAACATTACTGATAAAGACCTACCTAATAACACTCATTCCCCAAAGCTTTGGTGATATCCCTAAATCAATTGAGTTTTGTTAATTATTTCACTAGTATTTCATATTTTGAAAATTTTAATCCTACACATATGTTAACCTTTAATTTTCAAGCTATTGATTTGTTCAATTAAAAACATTCAGTTGATGCAAAATTTATGTTTTGGATCTTTTTAGTTCAGTTAAGAATTATTACGTTATAGTAACATGTTTATCATGAACAACTTCATGCCTATCTGGCAATAGTGAAAATCTGAGTATGTGATTCCCTTAACATTGCCTAGAAAGTAACTCCACTGTAAGTGTATAGTGGTTTAACCCCATCTGGCAACTACCACACAGCTGCTCCTTCATCCCCCCTGCCCCCAGTGGGGAGGAGAATTGGAAAGGAAAGGTAAGCCTCAGGGGTTGAGATAAGAATTTATTGGGTTTGTTTGACAAGGTTTTGGTAGTGGAAGGAGGGGGGGGGCTACAGAGGTGGTTTCTAGTGAGAAGCTGCTGGAAGCTTCCCCCATGTCTGACAATGTCAGCCGGCTGCAAGACAGACACACCTCTGGGCAAGGCTGAGCCAATCAGAGATCATAGTAACACCTCTGAGATAACATATTTAAGAAGGGAAAAAGTTATTGCGCAGAAGAAAATTGCAGCCAGAGAAGAGAGGAGTGAGAATACGTTAGAGAAACAACTCTGCAGTCACAAGGTCAGTGAAGAAAGAGGGGAAGGAGTTGTTCCAGGTACTGGAGCTGAGATTCCCCTGCAACCTGTGGTGCAGACCATGGTGAATCAGGCTGTCCCCCTGCAGTCCATGGAGGTCCATGGTGGAGCAGAGATCCACCTGCAGCAGATCCAAACCACCAGAGGACCCCAGGCCAAAGCAGGTAGATGGCAGAAGGAAGCTGTGACCCTGTGGGAAGCTCACACTGGAGTAGGCTCCTGATAGGACCTGTGGCCACATGGAGAAGGAGCCCATGCTGGAGTAGCTATGCTGGCAGGACTTGTGACACTGTGGAGGACCCATGCTGGAGCAGCCTGTTCCTGAATGACAGCACCCTGTGGAAAGGGACCCATGCTGGAGCAGGGGAAGGAGTCCTCCCCATGAGGGGGAAGGAGAGGCATAAACAACATGTGATGACCTAATTGTAACCCCCATTACCTGTCCCCTTGTGCTGCTGAGGAAGAGGAGTTAGAGATTGGGGAATAAAGTTAAGCCCGAGGAGGAGGGAGGAGTGGGGAGAAGGTGTTTTTAACATTTGTTTTACTTATTATCCTGCTCTGATTGGATTGGTAATACATTCAATTACTTTCCCGAAGTAGAGTCTGTTTTGCCTGTGATGGTAATTGATGAGTGATCTCTCCCTGTCCGTATCTCAACTCATGAGCCTTTCATTATATTTTCCCTCCTCTCTCCAGTTAAGGAGGGGAGTGATAGAGAGGTTTTGGTGGGCACCTGGCATCCAGCCAGAGTCAATCCACCACAAAGAACAATTTATTAATTGAAAAAAACTCCCAAAAAGATAAAAACAATATAATAATAATAGTAAGACAGGGGAGGAGAGAGACATTAACAGAAACCAAGAGAAACAAGTGATGCACAATACAGTTGCTCACCACTCACTGATTGATGCCCAGCCCAGCCCCAAGCAGTGATCGACCCCTCCCAGCCAACTCCCCCCAGTTTATATACTGCGCATGACATTCTATGGTGTGGAATATCTCTTTGGCCAGTTCGGGTGAGCTGTCCCAGCTGTGCTCCTTCCCAGCTTCTTCTGCAGCTCCTCACTGGCAGAACATGAGACACTGAAAAGCCCTTGACTCAGGGTAAGCATGGCTCAGCAACAACCAAAACATCAGTGTGTGTAACAACCAGATAATATAGAAATGCCAAAAATAATGTTCCTCCATTGTTTCTGCCTGTCAAAACTTCCTGCCAAAAATCCTCTGTCAGCTTTCTGCCAGAAGTTCTCACCAGAGCTTCCTGCTGGAGTTTTCCTGCCAAAAGATCCTTCTATTGTTTATGGTTATCGTGTCTCTTCAAACATCTGAATAGGGCTACGTGCCAAGAAACCATGTCCTTTGAACACTATAAAAGTTGAGGAAAAATTTTGGAAAATCAGGGAGAGGAAAGGGAGAGAGAACTCTTTATCATAGCCGAGAATCTCTCCCCACCTCCCCCTTACCTTTTCTCCACCACTGCATGTTGCCTGTCTGCCACCAGAGACTGGAACTCTGCTGGCCTGGAGAAGAACTGAGACCCACTGTGCCACATGCGTGAGTTATACCTTATCCTTCTACCCTGACCATATTTCTGACGGCTGAAAGGTGCTGCTGAATCGGGACCCTGCATGGCTTGGGACACGGTTCAAGGTGAGGAGTGAATCCTGATTGCATTCCAGAGTACTAAAGCTGCTAAGACACCAACACCCCCCCCCCCCCCCCCCCCCCCCCCCGGCTAAAGAAATAACATCAAAAAGCAGCAGAGACAGTAAAAAAAAGGCAGAAACTGATTCTACACACACACACCAGCTCGGCGGAAAGGTAGTTTTGGTGGTATCTTTCCTATGTTTCTAGAAGTAATCTTATCTTTTTCCAACCTTTTCTTATTTTTTCCTCCATCTCTTTGCATCTTTTAGCAATTAATAAAATTAGTTTTTGGTATCAACAGATAACTTGTGTGAGTTTTAATTTTGCTCAGGGGAATATTTGAATCTGAAGTTCTTTCTGCAACATTTAAGCAGATTGTAACAGTGTGTTACCAGTATTATTCTCCTAGGGAATCCAAAACAGCACCGTGCCAGCTACTGAGAAGAAAATGAACTCTGATCCCAGCTGAAACCAGGACACCGTGTAAATTACATATCTGAAATTGAGTACAATGGAGAATTAAAAAACCCAACAATCAATACATACTATTTCATTAATTCCACTAAGTTTCCCTGTAGACAATTTTGATGTTGAAGCAGGCCTTGGAGGGTGTACAATGGTGCCTACAGAAAGATGATTTATGGGTCTCGCTGAAAGAAAGTAAATTTAAGAAAATCAATATTAGAAAAGTCATACAAATATGTACTCACTTGAACAGAATAACTGGAAATTATGTTTCTATTAAAAGTTCCTATTTTACAAGCTCCATTTTGTAAAATTTACCACTAATCATAAATGTTTTAAAATAGGACCATGTGATACCCTGAAAAATGACTCTAAAAATGGCATCATGAGCTTCCTCATTCCTCTTGAATGATTTTATACCAACTATTCTCAAAGGTTTGAGCTTAAAAAGATGGTTTTACTCAAGTTCCCTTTTGTGTATAGTCTATATGGATTCAGAATACAGGACAGTCTTTCATGTCTAACCACAAATGGATAATTCAGTGGAAAGTCATAATTGGTTCTGGCTGACAATAGCATAACTGTTTACATCAAATTATATCCTCTGAAATCCCACTGGCTTCAATAAGTATACACCAACAAAACAGATAAATTACTCTGTTGATTGCAGGAACACAGTAACTCCATGTTATCTCTTAACCAAGCTATGAGAAGTCAAAAGCAGTTAAAAAAATACTGCCCTCATATCCTTCTAAACCTAACAGACACAACTAACAGATAGTGGCAACAGTACAAAGATGCTACTTTTACATAGTTACTTTTCCAAATAGAACTGTACTTCAAAATAAATGTTAGATGCCAGCCAATGAGTATGACAGATCTAAAATTAATTTCAAAATAGACTGAAACCCTAATATATGACTATGTCATTCGAGCACATCCTATCATCTCCCTCAAATTATTGTGGATGGTTCTTCTTTAATCAAATCAATTAATTTTATTTAAAAATATAACTTTGAAGTACGGAATTTTCTTAGGAATTCAGCATAACTCTGCCTTAATTCAAGTATTGTAGTTTTATCACTTACTTGGGAAGAAACAAATTAGGCTAATACTGACCATATCCACCTTAAGAGCTGCAAACTCAAATGTTCCCAAGTAAATTCCCTTCTGAAATGTCAGTCATTCCTTTAAAATTCTTCTTATGCCCAGGAAGACAGTGCATGCAAACCATTAAGTAGTCTGATGCAGTATCATAGGTATTTAGTGAGTTATGACCCACTTGCCCAAATGCACTTTGGCCTATAAGTATGTAACATTACCACAATATCATCCACACTTCAAAATACTGTGTGTTAAAAAGGAATAGTTTCAAATCCCAATTATTTAACTTTATTTAATCTGAAAACATCTATACATTCCTATTTCTACAAAAACAAAGCTCTCAACAGTTGAGAAAAAACAATGCTTGTAATTAGTTTGAATTTTTTTATTTCAAGCAGCATATTTATTTCATTGTGCTTGCTTTAAATGAAGTTGGTGCTAACAAGCAGTTTAGTACATTCTAAGTAAGAATCATGGAATCATTTAGGTTGAAAAAGACCTCCAAGATCATCAAGTCCAACCATTAACCTAGAACTGCCAAGTCCACCACTAAACCATGTCCCCAGGTGCCACATCTACATGGTTTTTAAATCCCTCCAGGGATGATGACTCTACCACTGCCTGTCCCAATGCTTGACAACCCTTTCAGTGAAGAAATTTTTCCTAATATCCAACTTAAACATCCCCTGGTGCAACTTGAGGTCATTTCCTCTTGTCCTGTCACTTGTTACCTGGGAGAAGAGACCAACCCCCTCTATGGAGCCTTCCTACCTTTTAGCAGGTCAACACTCCCGCCCAACTTGGTGTTGTCTGCAAACTTGCTGAGGGCACACTCGGTCCCCTTGTCCAAATCATTGATAAGAATATTAAACAGAACAGGCCCCAATACCGAGCCCTGGGTAATCTCACTTGTGACTGGTCACCAGCTGGATGCAGCACCATCCACCACCTGTCCAAGACATGGGCTGCAGCTTCTCCAGGAGAATTCTGTGGTAAACAGTGTCAAAGGCTTTACTGAAGCCCAGATAGACAACATCCACAGCCTTTCCCTCATGCACTAAGCAGATCACCTTCCATTAAAAAGAGATCAGGTTAGTCAAGCAGGTCCTGCCTTTCCTAAACCCGTGCTGGTTGGGCCTGATCCCCTGGTTGTCTTGCATGTGCCACATGATGGCACTCAATATGATCTGCTCCATAACCTTCCCTGGCACTGAGGTCAGACTGACTGGTCTGTAGTTTCCTGGATCCTCCTTCTGGCCCCTCTTTAGATGGGCATCACATTTGGTAACTTCCAATTAACTAAGACCTCCCTGGTTGACCAGAACTGCTCATAAATGTTTGAAAGTGGTTTGGTGAGCTCTTCTGCCAGCTCCCTCTACCCTTGGGTAGATCCCATCTGGTCCTATAGACTTATGTGGGTCTAAGTGGCATAGCAGTTTACTGACCATATCCCCATGGATTATGGGGGCTGTCTCTGTCTTCCAGCTCAGGGTTCTGGGTACCCTGAGAACAATTGGTTTTGTAATTAAATATATATATATGTATATATAAAATTTATCCTTAAATGTGTTACAAATGTGGATCCAGTAGCCATCTTATCTGGATATCTAATTGAGAAAGAGACAATCTAATGAATTCTGTAATCTAGATTTGTTATAAAACATAACTTTTAAGGAATATGAAGTGGAGGAATAATAAGTTGCACTTAAAACCCTAATGGTTACATAGAATCATAGAATCATAGAATCATAGAATAGATTGGGTTGGAAAAGACCTCCAAGATCATCAAGTCCAACCCCTGATCCAACTCCAATTACTATAGCATGGCACTAAGGGCCACATCCAATCTCTGCTTAAAAACCTCCAGGGATGGTGAATCCACCACCTCTCTGGGTAGGCTGTTCCAATGCTTGATTACCCTCTCTGTAAAGAATTTCTTCCTAACATCTAACCTAAACCTCCCCTGGCAGAGCTTGAGCCCATGTCCCCTTGTCCTGTTGTCGGTTGCCTGGGAGAAGAGACCAACCCCCACCTGGCTATAACCTCCCTTCAGGTAGTTGAAGAGAGTGATGAGGTCACCTCTAAGCCTTCTCTTCTCCA